AAGGAAACGCACAACAAAACTGATTCTTCCCCCAAAAGCTTACTCCAAAGTGGAACAAACCTGATGAAGCCTTCCGGTCCGAAGGTGAAACGTTTCTGCACAAAAAAAGAAACTGTCCAGATGACCTGACTGAAAAATGTTGGATTGTGTACCTGGATTATTGAGAATGGATTTTGTTGTTTTCAACAAGTTTGACAAGACTGTCAACAAGGAAGAGGGCCGGCAATGGAGGAGGGGGCGTACCAAAGAGACCATCTTATCACAAGCAGAACTGGTTTGTTCCACTTTGGAGTAAGCTGTTGGGATAAGAATCAGTTTTGTTGTGTGTTTCCTTGACTGATGAAGCCTTCTGGACCAAAGGCAAAACGTTTCAGCACAAAAAAAGAAACTGTCCAGATGACCTGACTGAAAAATGTTGTTTGAAAAAAGTTTTAAAATCTTTTTGCAAAAAAGTTTTAAAGTCTGTTTGCAACTAAGGAATAATCCAATCCTGTAAATATCTGCTCACCTTGGCTCTCTTCTAAGAAGTAAACCACATTCTATCCTCTCGGCCTTACATTAAACTCTGACGTGCGTCATTGTTGCCTGGCCTTTGATACGTTGTTGTGACGTCACAGGTCCCGGACGTTTTCTGATTTGAAGTCTTTCCAAACAGACGTCATCCTGTCATCTTATTATCAAACAAAAGTGAAGCTTTGTTACGTCACAGAAGTTCCTGGATGTTTTGGTATCTTTCCAAACTCATCGTTGAACGGGTTCCGGAAGCACGCTCCGTACCGTCAGCTCATTTACGCATGTGCAAATAGACCGTCAGCGCATTTTCGCATGCGCTAAAGGAGCTACTTCCAGGAGGGTTTCAGACGTTGCAGATCACAAAATGGACAGATTTTCAGTCTTTCTAGTTTCATCACCTGCAATTTTTCCTGGAAAAGAAATATTTTTTCGGATATGTGGATAACAAAATATGCCAGGGCTGGCCCCAGCGGTACGTCATAGCGTCCGCCATATTGGATGTTGCAGACCTGCCGGTCAACTAATACAAGAAAATGCATTGAACTTTATAAAGCACTGTTCTACAAATTGTTTTAAGTTAATCCCTGTCATTCACACACACTGATATATTTGAAAAACAAACAAGCACCAAAGTCAACATTTGTAACTTTTACCATGATTATTAAAAATGTTTACTCCTTAAATATTTAGGTTAAAAGCACTAAAGTTTAATGCTTCTCAATTATTTTCTGTTATCCCCCCCACCCCCAACTCTCCACCAATGGTGTCTATAAAATTGTTATAAGTACACCCCTGCCTAACATTGTGTCCTCATTAACATTAAAAAAAGGATATAGATCAACTTACAAGGAAGAATAACTTTATTAACATTGTTTTT